ATGGGTCATCCAAAAATAGTCTAACCGTACTTTAGTACGGGGGTAAGACTGCGTAAATCCCCCCTATCTCACCGTAGATGGGAGGAGCCTTTGCAACAATGGGGTAATGTCGTTGTTTTTTATTTGTATCCCTTGCGGGTGTACCCCTTGGAGGGGCTAGCTACATGCCTATATTTTATATTGATAAATTGTTTCTTGTGAAAATTAGATGCCTCGGACTCTAATGCCCCTTTACTGATCATTAGTTACTTCTAGTACATTACTATATCTAGGAGATCCCTATAACAATTACTACCGCACATGCTATTACATCAGATTGCCGCATCACATATATAACTTCAAAAAACAAGCAAATGAATATAGGGTTGCATTTTCATCTCCATTTTTTGCTATGAATCATCAATTTCGTGATTTTCGTCCATAGCCCGCAAATTCAGCCTTTCCTGATTGCTTCATAACATAATTATTCTACGGGGCAAGAAGGTCCTTTTAATTCTTTCGATGTGTTTGCATACGTATTTGCTTATCTTGGTCACTATTTTGTAAGCATGTTTACTATTGATAATATTTATGTAAAAAACTCATTAAATTAAAGATTAAGATGCCATATATCATTAATGACACGTAACTTTCAATTTTGTTAACAAAAGTTCTGTGTAGACATTTTTGTACACCGGGCTCGTACATTTTGAGTGTATCAAGGGAAATTCGTCTGGAAATGGAGAAATTGTGTAAAATTATATTAATTTCTGGGATACACAAAGTATTCACTACAAAAAAAAAACAGTATTGGCACGGGGTTGGCACGGGGTGTGCACGGACGGATTGAGTTTGACACGGATTATAACATATTTTTGGCGCGACTCCATACCAAATAGCTTATGACAATAGTTTTGGCATGAAATTTAGAATGGATTTGACAGAGATCTGCAAATCCGTGCAAAAACCGTGCCAAATCTCCCATAGAATTCGACGAATCTCTGCTGAAGTTCCACACATAGTTTGTGTCAATCATATTATTTTTTGTAGTGGTGATTTTTTATAATCACCGAGTAATATGATTTCCTAGCAAGGATAGGTAAAGAGCTAACTTGAGAAAAACACTTGAAATGGGTCGAAAATTCTTGGGCCAAAAAGTGTGTGGTCCAATTTCCTTGTCTGAATGTGTGATTAAATGAAACACCTTTCCTAATTGCTCGTCATTTAATTTCAGTAAAACCGACCGACCATCGACTTTCAGATGCATCGGCTATGAGAGCCAAGAGTTCTGTAGCATCGGTTTCGACCTGAAAGTCTTCATACCCGACGTCTATGGCCCGCTCCGTAGCTATCTCTAGAGCATCGACTTCCGCTTTCATTGCCTAGAGAGGGAAGGTTAGAGCAAAAACCAGGCAACCTTCCTCGTTGTTGTAGGCGCACAAGTCTTTAACGATCATCAGTGTTCAATTGTTTATGTTGTGGCCATCATGTGTGGATCTAAGGTAAAATTTTGTCGGTGTTAATACACAAGCATTTGACGTTTCGATTTCTAAAAACATGAATTGTCAATCCAAAATGGAAAATTGCAAATCACCTAGCGATTTGTTGATTGACTTTTTGGCAAAACTGCATGTAAAGTACGATTTAATTCTGTTTGAATATACCGAGTTTTTTTCCACATTAATGCTAAAAAATAAAGTATTTACGAAATAAGGGTGAAGTTAAAATTATTTATGAAAATACTGGAAGAAACTACGGTCAGGAGAGTTGCCAAATGAAATGACGATTTACGCCTAAATTATGGAAAAGGGGGGTGACCGTTGCACAGGATGGCCGATGGGGTGGGACCTAACTAAAAACAACATACTAAATGTAAGTGGATATCACCCCTCCTCTGCAACGGCCATCCTCCCTTTGCGTAGGCGTAAGTTGTTATTTCAATTGGCAACTCTCTCAACCATAGTTTATTTCAGCAGTTTCGTAAATAGTTTTAACATTACCCTAATTTCGTAAATACTTTATTTTTTAGCATTAATGTGGAAAAAATCTCTGAAATACCTGGAATAATGAACTAGCGAATAGAACTTGATACGAAGTAAAATATACGTAGTACGTAGCATACAGAGAAGCTTATTAGAGCATCTCCAATGGTTCCTTCTAGGGACCTGCTTACAATTTTGAAGTGGAGTACATCTTTGCTTCTAGCTTGGGCAAGCAAATTAGCTAAAACAAGCTAATTGCTAGAAAGGAGAGAAACTTGAATTAAAATGGTAAGTATTAAATATATTTAATTTATTTGTAATTGATATATTATATTAATTAATTATGCAACGTATGAGCAATACAACGTTAATTATATATACTGAATGGTTTACAATTTTAGTTATACAATATTTTCTCCTACTCCCCCACTACTCTATTTTCATATGTAAAAATTTAGTCTACCCTTCCATTTGAGAGCATATTTGGCAACGTTTTGGAGAGAAATTTGAATTGATATTGTTTAATTTAGTAGATCTATTTTATTTAATGTGTTTGCTTTTTTAATTTTAAGAAATGTTTAATTTTCTCATGAAATATTATTTCAGTTAAAGTTGTTTTTTAGCATGTATGTGTTGTTAAAAAAATTATTCCTTATTTTTTTACCTAACAAAATACATATTATTGTTCAAATTTTTCTTTCTTTTTAGTATGCACTTTCACCCTTGTTGGACGTTGGATTGATGGTTGGTCAAAGTCATAGTTGATTTTTTTTAAAATTAATAAATCAATTCACTCATAATGTGTATTTTAAAATTGATTGATTTGTGGGGCCTATTCAAGAGACAAGCATTGTGGCTAACCATTGGAGATGCTCTTAGTTGTAGTAGATGAATTTGGGGATTTTCTTAGCATTCCATATTTGGAAAAAATCATTTATTCACTTTTTTATACTCCCTCTATTCCATTTTATAAGATGTCTTTACTATTCACTTGGTCAACACAAATCACTCTTAATATCTTACTTTATATATCAAAATTTTATGAAATTTGAATTATTTTTTGCAGGTTTTGTAGCGGTTTTAATGTAGTTTCTGAATACGTAATTTTTATTTTCTAAAAATAATTTGAGTGCAAACAGGAATCCGTTTGCTTTATCGTCGGTCAAACATCGTAAACCGAAAAGTATCTTATAATTCGGGACAGAGGGAGTACATATTTGTTGTACACACCCCTTGGTTGTATATAGGGAGCTCGTTACAAATATCTTGTGTACATAGACAACTAGGTAGTGTGTACAACAAAAGTGTATTAAAAAAGTATACAAATAGTATGACTCCATATTTTGGCTACATTTAAGTTTATAAACTACTTTCACAATATTTAGTGAGAAGGTTTAAAGTCTATAAAAAATGGAGGTACAAAATCTCATCTAAATGAGTGCAAATTTCAATGATTATTGATTAGGATGCAAAATTTAATGTTTAGATGTAAATACCAATTATTTTGAAAACCGTGTTGGAACTCAAATGCGGGTTGCCAACCACTTTGAAATTTGATGACACTACAAACATCATGCAAATTTCAATGATTAGGATGCAAAATTTAATGTTTAGATGTAAATACCAATTATTTTGAAAACCGTGTGGGAACTCAAATGCGGTTTGCCAACCACTTTGGAGTTTGATGACACTACAAACGATGTTGACATTTAACATAGAACATATACTATAATTGTCACGCCCCGGACCTAATCGGACACGTCAACAACCCGCCGTACAGTACGAATAGTCAACCGCAGTTCAACACATCCATACTATACAAGGCGTCTGGAATATCATTCACACATAGTACATCCATAAACAAACATAATGTAAAATATTCATTTAAAGCAGCGGAAACATTCAATACAAGTGTTCATGCCACACCTTGGCAAACATGGCCATACAAGCCCCCAAATAAATATTTAAAAGTAATATCCATGAGCATTAATTAAATAGTTTGTAAAAATGGAAACGGGGGAAGCACGAACCACGTCTCCTCCTTTTTGGATCCTCCCGAAGCAACAACGATGATAGCAACCTTCGAGTTCTACCTCAAACTGTGAGGTGGCCTCCCCCGTGAAGGGGAGGTCAGTACTTGGAAGCATTTGACAAGTACAATGACAACTATACTAAGTATAATCAAAGTTTCAATTTCCAAGACCCTCAATCTAGGATGTTATTACTTTATAATCAACTCACGTTCCTTCATGCTAGAGCTCGGCTCATAGTCATACTAATTCGTGCTAGAGCTTGGCTCATAGTCACACTACGTTTTGCTAGAGCTCAGCTCATAGTCATACTACATTTTGCTAGAGCTCGGCTCATAGTCATACTACATTTTGCTAGAGCTCGGCTCATAGTCATACTACATTTGCTAGAGCTCGGCTCATAGTCATACTACCACGTGCTAGAGCTCGGCTCATAGTCACGTCATCTAATCCTAAACAATTTCTTAGTCTAGGCTCCATCCCTTTGAGTAACCCTTAAGGCCTACTCCTAATGTAACTTGGGTTCATAAAGTTCACCTTAAAATATCCTTTAAGGTTACTTAGCTCCAATATCTTGGGATTATCCCCAAGACTATTGAACTATCATTTCCGACTAGTAATTCTATACTAGTCGTTTAATCTTAATATATCCAATGCAAATTCATAATAGTTCGTATATTTCAATTTAATTCCACATTCAAGTATAGTTTGGCTTTAATATCAAAATATCACTTTTATCCTTCCATGACTTCTTTACATGAGGTAAAAGTATATTTATCACAATGAACATTCATGGTTAATACATCTATCATGCCATTTTATTCATAACACACAATCATACACAATTTATTCATAAATTTGTATATTATGCATTTTCACTTATAAACAACATTAATTTCATTTGGGCACTTTTTATCATTTATAAACCATGCCAAGCAAATTTAATTCATTTAGGTAATCTCATGAAATTAACCCAATAATTATAAGCAATATAGTCGGTCATCCTCACCTTAAGTGAGCTTAGGCGCGATCTACGTTTCCCGGTTGAACTTTGGCGAACTTTGACCAACTCCAGCGAAACTCCGGCGAAGCTCAAAGATACTCTAAATCAAGTTCCTAACAAGGTTTTAACATCATAAAACCTTAATCAATACACATAACCCCTAAAAGGTTATTTTCCGGTGAACTTGTCGGTTTGGCTTCTAAATCCATTTTTGGACATAGAACCACCTTCCAACCCCTTGTTCCACATTCATCAACATGTAGAACAATCCTAGGGTTCCTCATAATTTCTCAAATAATAATATATTCAAGAAAAATAGGAGAAAAGGTAAATGAAGTCATTACCTAGTTTTTCCTCAAGTTTTGTACACTTTGGAACTTAAATTTATCCCTAGAGCTTCCCTCTTGTTGGAGCTTTCTTCAACAATGGAGAATAAGGGTGAAAATTTCTTCTTTGCTTCTTGCTTGGGTTCTGGCTGCAGGGATGAGGGAGGAGGGAGTGATTATTTTCTTTTGTCTCAATAGAATGGGGGTGTGGGGAGAGGTCCACCCCATTTCTTTTGTTTGATTCCTTTCCCTTCACATCACACACCTCTCCCATGTTCCCACATCATCTCAACCATCACATTTGGGTGACCAAATTCGTGGGTTGGCCCCCACACATGTGGGAGGTCAACCCTTTTTGTCCAGAAGTGTACAATCGGTCCCGAAAGTTGTATTTTTCGGACTGTTTTAGATATATTTTATTTTATCGGGTCAAATAAAATATATTATGTGTTCCCAATCATTATGACCCTTATAATGAATATACATCCCCCAAATTTAATTTATAAGTTCCCGAAATTCATTTCTGGCTTTTATCTGTTAAATTACCAGTACCGGTATTTTGGCCTTTTTGATCAACCGGTCAACTCTATATCATTTCTTTGGACCAAATAAATTATCCACCACTATATAAATATTATATTGACCAAGATGAATAAAATATACGATCTCGGGAATATCGGGCGGCCCCCGCTCCCGGTGCGGGCCCCACGTGCGAATTTACTATTCACGCAAAAACATTAATAAAAATTCACAACTTCAAATACTCGTTAACCATTCCATAAGTTCATTACATTATTCACTTAAAAGTAAATACTTTTTGGGGACGGTGTTACAAGTTCACCCCCCCTTAATTGGGATTTCGTCCTCGAAATCCACGTGTCTAATAAAAAAGAAACGGGTATTGCTCCCTCATTGAGACCTCAGTCTCCCAGGTTTCTTCTTCGACTCGATCACTCCTCCAAAGAACCTTTACCATAGGAATCTCCTTGTTCCTCAGTTTCTTCACCTGTTGACCCACAATCTTTACCGGTTCCACCGCATATTGTAGATCTTCACGTGTCTCCACCGGTGGCTTCTCAAGAATATGAGATGGATCTCTCACGTATTTCTTGAGCATCGATACATGAAACACGTCGTGTATCTTCTCAAGTTCCGGCGTCAACTTGAGACGGTATGCCACAGCCCCTATCCTTTCAAGGATTTCAAATGGACCAATGTATCTCGGGTTAAGTTTTCCCCTCGATATAAATCGGATGATACCCTTCCAAGGAGAAATCCTTAGGAAGACCTTATCACCGACCTCAAACTCCAATGGCCTTCGTCGTTTGTCGACATAACTCTTCTGCCGATCTTGAGCAGCCTTGAGTCTATCTTGAATGACTTTCACCTTAGCCTTGGTGATTTCAACAAGTTCAATCCCCTCGAGCTTGGCCTCGCCAACCTCGTCCCAACACAACGGTGTTCTGCATTTCCTCTCATACAATGCCTCATATGGAGGCATGCCAATACTCGCCTGATAACTGTTGTTATAGGCAAACTCTACTAGAGCCAAATGCTTGTCCCAACTTCCTTGGAACTCCAGAGCACATGCCCTAAGCATATCTTCCAGAATCTGTATCACCCTCTCAGATTGTCCATCCGTCTGTGGATGAAAAGTTGTGCTAAACTTCAGTTTCGTTCCCAAAGATGCTTGAAACTTTGGCCAAAATCGGGATGTGAAACGTGGGTCCCTATCCGAGACAACGGATATGGGAACTCCATGAAGTCTCACAATCTCCTCAGTGTATAGCTTTGCCAATCTTTCAAGAGGATAGGTAATGTTGATAGGCAAAAAGTGTGCACTCTTAGTGAGCCTATCAACCACTACCCATACTGCATCGTAGTTGTTCACTGTTCGTGGTAGCCCCACCACGAAGTCCATGGTAACATGCTCCCACTTCCATTCTGGAATGGTCAGTGGCTGCAAAAGCCCCGCCGGGTGCTGATGCTCTGCCTTAACTTGTTGGCAAGTAAGGCATCGACTCACGTACTCTGCGATGTCTCTCTTCATACCCGACCACCAGTAACTTTCCTTCAAGTCTCGGTACATTTTAGTACCTCCTGGATGCATAGCATATGCCGAAGAATGAGCCTCCTCTAGTATGGACTTTTGGAGCTCCTCACTCTTTGGTATGCATACACGGTCTTTAAACAGTAAAAGACCGTCATCACGTACTCGAAAGTTCTCCATGGGCCCTTCAAGGATCCTCTCGCGGATCTTCTGGCATTCTTCATCAGTGGCCTGACATCTGCTGATCTCACTCAGCAATGTAGGCCTAACCTCGAATCTAGCAATGAGGACCCCACTCGTGGACACCTCCACTTGTGCCCTCAAAGTTCGTAGACATGTGAGTAATGTCCCCGACGTACTTTTCCTGCTCAGTGCATCGACCACTACATTGGCCTTTCCGGGATGATAGTCAATGATCAAGTCATAGTCCTTGATCAACTCCATCCATCTCCTTTGTCTCATATTCAACTCTTTCTGAGTGAATACGTACTTCAAGCTCTTATGATCGGTAAAAATGTGACATGTCTCCCCATAGAGGTAATGCCTCCAAATCTTTAGTGCAAACACTACCGCCCCCAACTCTAGATCGTGGGTAGGGTAGTTCGCCTCGTGTTTCTTCAATTGCCTAGAAGCATAGGCAATCACCCGACCGTTTTGCATCAGTACACATCCAAGCCATTGGATGCTAGCATCACTGTAGATATCATACCCTATCCCCTGTATAGGTAGGGCTAGTATTGGTGCTTGAGTAAGTCGTTTCTTCAGTTCAAGGAACCCTTTCTCACACTTGTTGTCCCATATGAACTTGGCCCCTTTCTTTGTGAGCTTCGTTAATGGAGACGCCAATACGGAGAATTTTTCAACAAATTTACGATAGTATCCCGCTAAGCCAAGGAAACTACGTATCTCTTTCACATTCTTGGGTCTCTCCCAATCCATAATAGCTTTAATCTTGGCATTGTCCACGGCAACGCCCGAACCGGATATGACATGACCGAGGAAACCGATCTCTTTGAGCCAAAATTCGCATTTTGAGAACTTGGCAAAGAGTTGCTTTTCCCTTAGCCGATCAAGTACAAGTCTGACGAGCACTTTGTAGTGAGTGCACTCAAAATAAATTCAACACTAGCACTTATACGTAGTATAGGTGAAGTAGAGTTCGTATCCACAGGGAAAGGAATAACTTTCTTTTTATATAAATAGTAAGTAAAGGGGGGTTTTGATTGTTGAGTGATTTAATTAAATTAAACACGAAGATGAACGAGTTATATGGGATTTAATTCAAAGATAAAAGTGACTTGGCATTGCTACTTTCCACTTGTTGATATATTTTAGTCGATCATTGTTATATCTATAACTTATAACTTATCTCCTCTCGAATACTCAATCGAGGAGTATATCCAATTCATCGAGGATAGTTATTAATAACGACCGTTCATTAATAACCCTTACTATTAGTCAAGTATAGAACAACGCCATATACCGACTTGATAGTAGCATTTAATCTTTTAACTCCTTGATGAAATCAATTGAGATTGATAACCTCAACACAACGGTTTCGGTTTAACCAACAAAATTAATCCCTCTTAAGTTTATTAACCACGACCGTGCATTAATAAACCGAAGTTACTTACTTGTGAAACTATCAACGATTAACCATCGGTTCGTTGATCGTTCCTAGTAATAATTAATATGTGAAACAAAACTAGTTGATCCTTTAAGTAATGTTCAAAATATTAATATGAAATATGAATAGGGATTAATTAATATTCAAGGAAAAGTATTAAAGAAGATGAATCCTACTATGGTTAATATCAAGATGTTAACTAATTGTCATCTTAGTAACACTGCCCAATATTAACATAGAGGAAGGAATAGCTATTACTAAGACCAACGTCGAGATGTTAACTAATTGTCATCTTAGTAACACTCCCCAACATTGATATAGAAATAGTATTTAAGAGAAGCATTAATATTCAAGGAAAGAAGTTAAGAAAATAACTCACAACTTTAATAATCAACAAGCTTCAAGAGCAATACCAAGAAATGGAAGTTTAGCTCCTCATTTGGAGACTAAACATGCTAAAAGAAATATAAAGAAATGCTATTCTAAACTGAGCTTAAGAGTATATAGGAATTGGTTATTTATTGTGAAGGAAAGGGGGTGTATTTATAGGCTTTTTGGGAGTGCAGCTCGGGTACTCGATCGAGTATATACAGATACTCGATCGAGTATGTGTAGAAATACCAGATTCGAGGTATACTCGATCGAGTATATGTTCATACTCGGTCGAGTATGTGTAGAAAGTGATATTCGAGCCATACTCGACCGATTTCGGGTTTAAACTCAAAGGCATACTCGATCGGGTATGTCGGTCTACCCGATCGAGTATAGACACTGAATCGTGGCCAAAATCTTCCCGGCATGTTCCTTTGTCTTCGGATCCGATCTGATTTGAAGTTTCAACCTTATACCCGATCGAGTATAGGTAATACTCGACCGAGTATAGGCAAAAATCAGGGTTTTCCCTTTTTGTCTTGTTATTTGCACCTTCTTTCCACTTTTGGGGTTCACCAACCATCCTTTGAGTGATAGTAGACCTGTTTGAGCTCAGAATAATCCTAATCTAAACAATTTTACAAGAATTTAACAAACTAAACTATTACACCAAAAGTGTGTAATTTCCGAAACATTAAACAACCAAAACTAGCTAAAAACATAAACATACACACGGAAATTACAAGTGTATCAAAGTCTCAAATGACATTCGTGCTCCTCCTCGCTCTTGGAATATATCAAGATATCATCAATGAATACTATCACAAATTGATCTAAGTATTCACTAAACACACGGTTCATCAAGTCCATGAATGCCGCCGGTGCGTTAGTTAAACCAAATGACATCACAAGGAATTCGTAATGACCATATCTAGTGCGAAATGCGCTCTTAGGTATGTCGCTCTCCTTGATCTTCAACTGATGATACCCCGACCTCAAATCAATCTTCGAGAACACTATTGCCCCCCGAAGTTGATCAAACAAGTCATCAATCCTCGGTAAGGGATATTTGTTCTTGATTGTGACCTTGTTCAACTGTCGGTAGTCAATACACATTCTCAGTGTGCCATCCTTCTTCTTCACGAAGAGTACGGGTGCCCCCCACGGTGAATGACTGGGTCTGATGAATCCGTTGTCTAATAATTCTTGTAGTTGGACCTTCAGCTCTTGAAGTTCGGCCGGTGCCATTCGATAAGGGGGAATCGAAATGGGTTTGGTTCCCGGCTCCACTTCAATTACAAATTCGATCTCTCTATCGGGTGGAATCCCCGGTAGGTCTTTGGGAAAGACATCCGGGTATTTGCATACAACTCGTACATCTTTGATGTCGACTTCCTTCTTGGTATCGTCCACCACATAGGCAAGGTATGCGTGGCATCCCTTCCTCATCATCTTCCGTGCTCTCATCACGGATATGATACAAGCATTAGATTTCCCCCGATCTCCCTCGAAACATAGCGTGTTTCCTTGATCATCCTCGAGCTCCAACACCTTGGTGTAGCAATCTACTCGGGCATGGTGTTTCTCTAGCCAATCCATCCCTAGGATCGCATCGAACTCCAACATGCTTAGAGGTACGAAATCACAAGTCAAGGGTTGACCCGTCACTTCCACCTCACATGATGGATAGTAATGATTTCTTTCCACGTCATCTCCTAACGGTGTGGAGACCAGTAATGTTTGCGTCATAGGCGCCAATGGCACGTCAAGGCTCTCGGCGAACGCCTCACTCACGAATGAGCGTTGTGCCCCGGTATCGATGAGGATCCTCGCACACCTACCATTGATCTTTAATGTTCCTACATTTATACACCATGTAAGATACCTTTTCTAATGTTTTTACACATCATTAGGAGGTTATTAGGTTCATACTAATGTTTGGAATCAAACGGGGGTCCAAACGTAAAAGAACGGAGCGAAAAAAATGAGTTTTCGGTTGCCGGGGGTCCACGCACGGCGTGCCTGGGTGGCACGCACGGCCGTGCGTGCATAGGAGTCCCCCTGCTCGCCACTGCCTCCCAGGAACGGTGTCACGCACGGCGTGCCTGCGGCCGTGCCTGGCCAGATTTCCTCGGAGAGGCCACTGCCTCCCAGGCACGGTGCCACGCACGGCGTGCCTGCGGCCGTGCTTGGCTAAATTTTCTTGGAGAGGCTACTGCCGACCAGGCACGGTGCCACGCACGGCGTGCCTGCAGGCGTGCCTGGCCGAATTTCCTCGGGGAGCCACTGCCTCCCAGGCACGGTGCCACGCACGGCGTGCCTGCGGGCGTGCCTGGCCGGCGGTGGCTGTTTCCCGCCTGATTTGGCCTAACTCACCCGGTTTGACCCCGGGGTGGCCCGCACTCAATCCCAACGACGTATATGATCAAAGTAAGCCTAGAAATGCCCAGAATAAGTGTATTACCTGCGACGGAGTCGGGATTAGCCCGAGCATCGGCCTCGGTCATTGCGTAGACTCTAGCTTGCGTCCTTCCTTGATTCACGGACGGCGCATTGCTGGTGCTCGCTCCCCCTTGCCCCGTACTAGCATGGGGTGCTCCGGTCCGACTCCTACTTGCCGTAGTAGCGCCGCTTGATCCCGCCCCCCGGTTCCCACCAAGTTGAGGGCAATTTGGTTTAATATGCCCCGTGTCTCCACATTGGTAGCACCGAGGAGGGTCACGACACTTACCGGCATGGCTCCTGTTGCAATTTCGGCACCTGGGCGCCGTTGAGGCTTGTGAGCCCGAGTTGTGCCCGCCGAAAGCCGGGTTTCCCTTGGATGGCGGTGCCGGTGCTCTGAACGATCCCCCTCCCCCATGGTTCCCCTTTTTGTTAGAACCTTGGGGGCCATGGCTTTCCCACTTCCTCTTCTTCGCCTCCTCGGCGTTCCTTCGCTTTCTTTCCTCCCACTCCTTCTCTCCCTTCAGGCCTTGTTCAACCACTTGACTAAACGTCATATTAGGCAATTGTGTTGCCCTCTCGCGTATGTCAAGGTCCAAGTCATCCCAGAAGTGATTCACCATCCAGTTCTCATCACATATGTACTCCGGTATGAATTCGGCAAGCTTTCTGAACTTGTGCTCAAGTTCCTTCACCGTACATGCACCTCCTTGTGTCAAGTTCGTATACTCCCTCCTCTTCATGTTTACCTCGAAGTCGGAGTAGTATTGGTTGAAGAACTCCTGCCGAAAGTTCTCCCAAGTGACGGCCTCGCCGTATTTTCCTTTGACTCCGTCCCACCACGTGGACGCCATGCCTTCGAGCAATCTTGTTGCCACCCTCAGTTTCATGTTGGGTGGCAGCTGCATGTCAAGGGCCGCTTCGTTGAATCTCTTGATCTATTCGGCCGCAACGGAGATGTCTCTCGTTCCCTCAAACGGTTTACATCCCAAATCTCTTGCTTCTTTGACAAATTTGGAGATCCTTATGGTTGGACCTCCCGCATTTTGGCCTCCATGTGGTTCAACATGGACTCTAGAAGCACCTTGGCTTCCTCCTCTCGAAGCCATGCCCGAAGGTTGCCCCGCTCGGCGCCTTCGGCGTTGTCTCCTCTCTTCGCGCTCCCGGTGGTACTGTTGGAGCAGCGCCTCGATTCTCCCAAGAGTGCCATCGTCTTCACTCTCTCCACTCACATCGTCATCCTCCCCCTCATATGGGGTTTCCACCGGCTCGGTTTCCCGCCTATAGGTTGAGTCCTCATAGGACCAATAAGTCTCACTTTTGGTGTCCACGTGGCCATCGCTCACGGTTTGTTGTTGGCCTCCACGGCCCCTTCCCCTTGACCCCCTAGTCGACCCCCGGCTGCCGCGTTCGGACCCACCCGGTACACGGCCCGTCGGGTTCCTCCTAGTGATTCTTCCAATTGGCTCCATTTCTGAAAGAAGTTTAGAATGAGCCATTAGACTCGTATCCACTGTCAAGTGATGGATAGGCACTTAAAGACATCTTTTGGCTCAAATCACCGTCATACCAATTGTTAAGGGTACCATCTTAACAATTAGAGACTTTGCAACCCAAGTACCAAAAGTTCTATAAGTACAAAACTTTTATGCTCATGGTTTTCAAATTCATTTTCGAAAAGAGATTTTGAAGCTTCATTATGAAGTTTACGGACTAAGGCTCTGATACCAATTAAATTGTCACGCCCCGGACCTAACCGGACACGTCAACAACCCGCCGTACAGTACGAATAGTCAACCGCAGTTCAACACATCCATACTATACAAGGCGTCTGGAATATCATTCACACATAGTACATCCATAAACAAACATAATGTAAAATATTCATTTAAAGCAGCGGAAACATTCAATACAAGTGTTCATGCCACACCTTGGCAAACATGGGAATACAAGCCCCCAAATAAATATTTAAAAGTAATATCCATGAGCATTAATTAAATAGTTTGTAAAAATGGAAACGGGGGAAGCACGAACCACGTCTCCTCCTTTTTGGATCCTCCCGAAGCAACAACGATGGTAGCAACCTTCAAGTTCTACCTCAAACTGTGAGGTGGCCTCCCCCGTGAAGGGGAGGTCAGTACTTGGAAGCATTTGACAAGTACAATGACAACTATACTAAGTATAATCAAAGTTTCAATTTCCAAGACCCTCAATCTAGGATGTTATTACTTTATAATCAACTCACGTTCCTTCATGCTAGAGCTCGCTCATAGTCATACTAATTCGTGCTAGAGCTCGGCTCATAGTCACACTACATTTTGCTAGAGCTCAGCTCATAGTCATACTACATTTTGCTAGAGCTCGGCTCATAGTCATACTACATTTTGCTAGAGCTCGGCTCATAGTCATACTACATTTGCTAGAGCTCGGCTCATAGTCATACTACCACGTGCTAGAGCTCGGCTCATAGTCACGTCATCTAATCCTAAACAATTTCTTAGTCTAGGCTCCATCCCTTTGAGTAACCCTTAAGGCCTACTCCTAATGTAACTTGGGTTCATAAAGTTCACCTTAAAATATCCTTTAAGGTTACTTAGCTCCAATATCTTGGGATTATCCCCAAGACTATTGAACTATCATTTCCGACTAGTAATTCTATACTAGTCGTTTAATCTTAATATATCCAATGCAAATTCATAATAGTTCGTATATTTCAATTTAATTCCACATTCAAGTATAGTTTGGCTTTAATATCAAAATATCACTTTTATCCTTCCATGACTTCTTTACATGAGGTAAAAGTATATTTATCACAATGAACATTCATGGTTAATACATCTATCATGCCATTTTATTCATAACACACAATCATACACAATTTATTCATAAATTTGTATATTATGCATTTTCACTTATAAACAACATTAATTTCATTTGGGCACTTTTTATCATTTATAAACCATGCCAAGCAAATTTAATTCATTTAGGTAATCTCGTGAAATTAACCCAATAATTATAAGCAATATAGTCGGTCATCCTCACCTTAAGTGAGCTTAGGCGCGATCTACGTTTCCCGGTTGAACTTTGGCGAACTTTGACCAACTCCAGCGAAACTCCGGCGAAGCTCAAAGATACTCTAAATCAAGTTCCTAACAAGGTTTTAACATCATAAAACCTTAATCAATACACATAACCCCTAAAAGGTTATTTTCCGGTGAACTTGTCGGTTTGGCTTCTAAATCCATTTTTGGACATAGAACCACCTTCCAACCCCTTGTTCCACATTCATCAACATGTAGAACAATCCTAGGGTTCCTCATAATTTCTCAAATAATAATATATTCAAGAAAAATAGGAGAAAAGGTAAATGAAGTCATTACCTAGTTTTTCCTCAAGTTTTGTACACTTTGGAACTTAAATTTATCCCTAGAGCTTCCCTCTTGTTGGAGCTTTCTTCAACAATGGAGAATAAGGGTGAAAATTTCTTCTTTGCTTCTTGCTTGGGTTCTGGCCGCAGGGATGAGGGAGGAGGGAGTGATTATTTTCTTTTGTCTCAATAGAATGGGGGTGTGGGGAGAGGTCCACCCCATTTCTTTTGTTTGATTCCTTTCCCTTCACATCACACACCTCTCCCATGTTCCCACATCATCTCAACCATCACATTTGGGTGACCAAATTCGTGGGTTGGCCCCCACACATGTGGGAGGTCAACCCTTTTTGTCCAGAAGTGTACAATCGGTCCCGAAAGTTGTATTTTTCGGACTGTTTTAGATATATTTTATTTTATCGGGTCAAATAAAATATATTATGTGTTCCCAATCATTATGACCCTTATAATGAATATACATCCCCCAAATTTAATTTATAAGTTCCCGAAATTCATTTCTGGCTTTTATCTGTTAAATTACCAGTACCGGTATTTTGGCCTTTTTGATCAACCGGTCAACTCTATATCATTTCTTTGGACCAAATAAATTATCCACCACTATATAAATATTATATTGACCAAGATGAATAAAATATACGGTCTCGGGAATATCGGGCGGCCCCCGCTCCCGGTGCGGGCTCCACGTGCGAATTTACTATTCACGCAAAAACATTAATAAAAATTCACAACTTCGAATACTCGTTAACCATTCCATAAGTTCATTACATTATTCACTTAAAAGTAAATACTTTTTGGGGACGGTGTTACAATAATTGCTTTAGAGGTCTAGTACTCTATGTTTGAAGGTCTAGGGATAGATAACTTAAAATGGGTCTAATCTTTAAAAAAATGTAAAAACTCTTTTCTCTAGGTGCAAACTCACATGCATAATAAAAATATTTCAAGACTTTTATAATAAAGAAAAGACTTAAATTCGTTAAGTTAAACATAGAAGAATCACAGTTTAAATAAAATGACACTAGTATGTTTTAAATACATTTATCGCTAAACACAGTGAAGCAAAGTCATTAACAATAGCTTCATAATCAACATTGCTAATCCTTTAAGTCTTTTTAAAAACGTTGTTGATCACTGAAAAATTAGATAATCACTTTCACCGTACCTTTTTACTTGGGGATGCTTTTTCTAATTTTCTCCACTCTGTTTCTTTCTCCCATCAGAATCAACCCTTTATATAACACCTTGAATCAAGGACGAAGGTAGTTGTAGAAGTAGGGGGGACCTTGCCCCCTCCAACTATTTTATTTTTTACTAATACTAGTATTATGTATGGAGTATGAAATAATCATAAAAGATTGGATCAGAACTATCTGAGAGAAGCCTCCATTTGAGATATTTTTGGGTAGATGTTTTTTATGAAATTTTAAAAGAATTTTTTTCATGAATTGTAGATTATGTCCATCAAATTTTGTCTTGAAATTCAACCGAAAAAATCAGTTAAATAATTTATGGAAAAACACTAAGTTTTTTATTTTATTTTTTGGCGAAGTATTTTTTAATAATAATTTATTTAATTGATTTCCTAATTTAATTTTAAATTGAAATTTGGTGTAAAATTAAAAATAATTTGATTAAAGTTTGTCATAATAGGAGTGAATAAGTCATATTTTGAGAATAAAACAATGATGATACTATTTATGAACTCTATCTTTTTTAGTCCTATTTAGAAAATTTTCACTTTATTATTTGTCTTCTTTCTTGGCTCCGCCTATGTAACTCATGTTTAAAATTAATTAAATTTATAAAAGTAATTATAATTGAAAATTTTTAGCCAACAACATCAACAAATTATAACACCAACATAATATTCAATATATAACTATCACCAATTAAGAATATGAGCTTAACATTTATGAACACTCAACCACCAACAAATCAACTAATTATTTATCTAGCTATTAACTTATAAACATTATTACATTATACAAATATGATATAAAAAAAATTAAAAGCTAATCATTACTCCATGGAGCGGTTTGGTTATAAAAATTAACTATTAAAATCGGTTCAGTTTCTATATAAAAATTCAAGAATCATTATGGAACCAAACAAATATTAAACGATTTAGTTCTTACTTTTATTGGTTCCTAAGTATATAGTTTTTCCCGTAAAAATATGAGCAATTGACTTTATACCAGATGAAAATGTTGAAAATTCAAAACACAAATAATAAATACAAGATGCCTGGTTCAAGTATCACTAAATTTAAAAAACACATTGAATACACAAGTACAAATATAAATGATCACATTTCAAAACCCAAGAGCACTATTTACAATAGATCTTACAATAAACCCAAGAACACAATCATTTTGAATATTGTAAAGTAAAAATATATGGAACCAACACGTGTTGTTTTGGGTTAGTTTTATAATTATGAAATTTACGCGTTAAAACATGCTTTATTTTTAAAAATGAGTAATATATTGATCCCTCATATACAATAATTTATAACTTCATTTCATCAGTTAAACCTATATTGTTGCGTGACTAAAAGTCATTATATTATTGTTATTATTACTAGTATTGTAGTATTGTAGTATTGTTACTATTATTATTGTTGTTGTTGTTAATGTTGTATTATTAGTTATACTTTCAATTTTTTATTTTTATTAATAACTTAACGGTTCCTAATACATATTTTGCATGAACCGGAAAATTGAACCACTTACCAGGAGTTTCAACCGAACCGTTAACACTTTCAAAGTTATTTTAAATAATGGAGCTGTTTCTATAATATAAATAAGGGAAAATGGAAACTAATTTTTTTTTATCCCGGAAGGCAAACCACCAAAATCAGTGGGGCAAATGCCGGGAGTCAGATGCCGTTATTTTATTAAAAGCACAAAATACAAATGAGAGGGGGATCTAACCAAACCTCTCACAGAGGCATACCTCTGAAAAACAAACATACTAAAGATAGATAAAAGCTAAAGAAATTTTGGGGGGGTAAACCCTGACCCAAAATAACAGTAAATGAATTAAAAACGGATACAGGGGAAATTAAACAGATCGGCAAAATAATTCCTCTTTACCTCTTTGGGCAAATGCCGAACTTGATCAAATAATACAACTTGGGCCTGTGATAGCTTTAGATCTGCTAGAGCATGGGCCACACCGTTTCCTTCCCTGAAAACAAGCCCAAAGTTGATACCTTTCCCAAACGTCATCTGCCTGAAAGTTCGAACATCAGCTCGGTTGCCAAAATCGTTCCTGAGGATATCCAGCGAACGCGAGGCATCGGTTTCCACTAGCACGTCAGTGAAACCATCCTCCAACACCATTTCAGTAGCCTTCATCAACGCTTGGAGCTCTGCCTCTTCGCTGGACCCAGCCAACAAGTGAAAGGATGCTGCCCAGACCATTCTTCCCATCCTATTTCTAAGAATCGCTCCGCCAGAAGCTCTATCAGGGAAAATGGAAACTAATAATCCAACCTTTTAGCGATCTTCTTATAATAGTCTCACCTTTTCGTTATTCAAGAATAATACAACCTTTGCACCCCATCTTTATTCGCTGGTCCCTGATCGATTAATGACCTGCTATTTCAAGTTATTTTCTTATCTTTGCAAAATATTATCTTTGTAAAAGGTGAGATTTATGGTATAATGATTTGCAACGATAATAAAACAACTTGGAATAGGATGTCATCAACCGATCAGGGACCAGTGAATGAAGATGAGGTGCAAAGGTTGGATTATTCATGAATAACGAAAAGGTGGGACTATTGTAAGAAGACCACTAAAAGGTTGGATTATTAGTTTCCATTTTTCCTATATAAATAAAGAGTTTGTGTAAGTTTGATTTGGCTCAAATAAAAATATCGGAGCAAATCTGCATTAGATGTTTAAGGCATTAATTACCGATTTCAATAAGTAGGTATTTTCAATCAGGGCTTTGGAATAGAGAAAACATGCAAGATAACATTCAAACAGCTATTACGTATTAGATTAATCGTACACCATACGAATAGCATAGAGTTAGCCACCTATACAAAGCAACTTAACTTTCTAGACAAAAATGGGCAAGCTTAATCCTAAAACAACAGAAAATAAATCATTTTCTATCAAAAGTTCTTCAAAAATCGAAAATACTCCAACCATACGTACTTGAATTAAAATAAAAAAAATACCAATAAAGGAACAATAATACAGAAATAAAAACTTTCCATAAATTGATTCCCGACACAGAGGTGGTTCAAGAGAAGGACAAACTGATGCAGTATGGGTGAAAGTTAAATCCCTCTTCCAAATTTCCTTTTCAGTGAAGAGAATTCCGATCACCGAAAAATCCGCTCCCAACCCTACTTCCGATGCACCACCGGCCAAATCTACAGGCAATAGACTCTCATCTTCATTCTCCATAGTACAACTTGTAGTATGGCTCCTCAAGTTTCACCATTGAGATCATCAAAGTCTACCCGCGAACTCGCTGAGTCGCTGCCCTACTTCAATGTCCTCGTCTGCAAAACCTAGTACCTCAACAAACTGGCGGACGAAGGTGTTAACCCTTGCCGGAAAAACCAGACCCTAGAGAATCCTGGGAAACGGGTGCTGCTCTTCAAAGATTTTTCCTCTTTACTTGGTACTGTAGTTGTAATAATATGCAAACCTTAGTACAATAGAGGAAGCACTTCAATGCAGCTGGTCGTTGACTCACTCTCCCATATGGGGATCTTGAGTTTGAAACTTCATGAAGAGAGTTTCAGCCTTGTTTATCCCATACTCCCCCGCCCTAGAGACCCCCTTGAGTCCTTGACCGGTTAAAAAAATTATGTAGTACAATAAAATTATGTAACCACAGAAACCAATTCTAAAGCAAAAGTACGTTATATATGGAGTATATAAATATTACGTAGTACTTCGTAATATAAAAATAATTATTCAAAAGTTATTACCTAAATACTACTTCTATTACAATTTGTTTGGTATAAAACATACATGAATAAAAGCATGTCTCTTTATTAAAAATATGAATAACTAATTTTGTTGATTTCATCATAATTTGTGACATACTACGTATTTGTCTTTGGAGAGGCTTGGCCATGAAGCAATGGCCTCTGTGTCATTATGAATTATGATAGGTCCTATAATTGGACGTCTTGTTTGGTTGTACTAATAGTATGATAAAATGTTGTATACGTGTAGGAAATAAATGATATACATCGTTTCTTCAAATCATGGATATTATATTAACGATATAAAATTGGAATTATATCAATCCAAGCATAAAATTGTAATGGTAGCAATTCAAGCTCTAAAAAATAAGTTGAAAATTAAAATTTCTATAAAATTAGATGGACGTTGTGGTAATAAATAATTACAACAATGAAGACAAGGTGATCACATTGATAATAGCTATGTCGCACAGATACTTCACAATGGTACTGTATCGCTACATCTGAAACATCCTTGTATCATATACTCTTGAATACATGTACCATACGTTCAGATAGTATTTACAATTTATTAGAAGTTCCCATCTTTTTTTATAATTATTTTAAAATTTTGGATACACATATATATAGAGATACACATATAAATTTGAAAAAAAACACCCAGAAATTAAATAATATTATATAAAAGTCTTAAAATATATGGAGGAGTATATGTTATTAGGAGTAGATATTATCATTTGTTTATTAGACCATTGTTTTTTATGAAATAATTACATAAATATGATCAAAATAAAGAATTGATGTACAAAATATGACTAGTTACTAGAGTAGTAATGAAATCATAGTAATTCATATTCAAGTTTTTAACTTAAGTTACCACAACATTACGTTGTAGTAATGAATAGTCAAATTTATGTAAATAAGTTTTATTTTAGTAATATTATTGTAAAAAAATCCTTGTTTTATATCTTTATTGAGAATCTTTTATCCAAAGATGTTGAGTACGTGCTTGCATTTTTTATTTCAAAATTGTGGTTGTTAGTTTGGCTTATTTCTCAATTCAATTAGTGACTTATTATTATATGCACTAGTGTATATGCGATAAATATGACTTTTTAACTATCTTGATAATGTGAAATGCTCAATGAACGAACGAGCATGAACAATCATGAGATAATACATGTAAATATTTTCAATTTAATATTTATAATACTCCATCATAATTTCAATATTTAATAATTTAGTCATATCAGTATCCATCCTTATGCATCTCTTTGCAAGCAAGGATAGGGTCTCGGTATTCTTATAATTAGAATATTCAAATTCATATTCACAAATATTTGAAAGCAAGGTTGTTCTTGTTCGCATATCTGGCCGCGGAGCAGTGGTCTGCTTTTGGCTAAGGTAGAGCGATCACGAGTTTTTCTCTCTAGGGCTTTGACTATGTCGGCCGCTGGAGCCTTTTTCCGATTTCGACTTTATCGAAGATCGGCTTTGTTATCCCTTGGTCGCTGGTGCTCGACTGGAGTCCTGGTCAGACGCGGAGGGCGGAGATCGGTGGAGGAGGGCAGATTTGTTGTCATGGCTCGAGGAGATCGGCGTTGTGGTCAAGGTTTGAGGATGCGGCGTTGCTGTCGTCGTTGGAGAAGATCGGCGCCGCCTGTCCGCTTACTCTGGTCGCACGGAGCAGAGATGAGTTTGGTTATGCAGGGACGGAGGATTGATGCATGGTCTTTGGCAGTCAAAGGTCATGGAGCCATGGAGGATCAATTAGCATGGTACTAGTGGTACGACCTCCTCCTGAACCACCACCATGGGATGCACGAGGTGCTAGAGTTCGTGAACGTTTTTCTTGTAGTTTTTATCTGTTTGTTATTTGTTTTCTTGCGTCCATTTTTGTTGTTGGGTTTGACAGTTTGTTTGAGTTTTTTGCCTCTTTTTATGTCATTGGGTATGGTTGGATCTATGGGAATAGTTTTGACTGTGTCAAGCCCACTACATGGTTAGCGATTCGTGTCGCTCTCTCAGGAGTGACCGTCTCAAAGTCCCAATAGGGTTACAGTTAGGGATGGACTGGGCCGGGCCGAACCGGCCCGGAACCGGACCGGCCCGCTACTGTGCGGGCCCGGACCGGACCGGGCCCGGTTGGCCGGTTCCGGGCTTTTAGCCCGTGTTGGCGGGTCGGGCGGGCCGGTTCTGGGCCTTATTTTTGTTGAACCGGCCCGGGCGGTTCGGGCCGGGCCCGGTTCATTTTTTTTTTTTTGGTTTTTTCAATTTTTTTTCTTTTCCTAGGGTAGGGCTGGGTGTTTTAGGGAGGTTTGGGGCGTGGGGGTGAGGGGGGGGGGGGGTAGGGAGATAACAAGAAAGTCAAAAAAAAAAAAAAAAAAACATTGAACCGGGCCCGCCCGGCCCGAGCCGGTTCCGGGCCCATGTAACCCGAAAAAAAGCCCGCTCGGGCCCGGCCCGGAACCGGACCGGCCCGGATCCATTCTTAGTTACAGTCGTAGTTGTTGGAGTTTTAGTTAGTGTATGTTTTATTTTCCCTTTGCTTGATGTAATGATCCTGATGAATCTTTTGATATGAATAAAGGCATGTTTTGATAATCAAAAAATATTTGAAAGCAAAATGTTTAGACGCACTCCGAGTCTCCGATCAAGTTAATCAAAATCAAATGCGACTTGTGAACCATATTTAAATTACTCCGTATTCATTTACAACCTATTAGGATTTAGGAGGGAACCGTGTAGGCGTGTATAGTCGTATAGATGTATGCATAAAAACTTAATAAAGCATAATTAGTTGATGATATACAACACGCAAATATAACAACAGAAACAGGAATTTCGAAAAATATAAAAAACAAATTGAGAAAAATATGGAATACAATGGCATATATATTCACACATCTAAAGACCAAGAACAAAAAGCCTATATCCTTAATTAACGCCTATCTAATAAAAGAATAATGCTGAATCATCTGTGTATAGTATGCTAAATTGCCATTCAATAATCGCCGAACCAAGCTGCCTGTAAAAAAGGGGGGCAAAATGTTAGCATGCACTTCAAACTTCAACAACGTATCTCATAAATTAAACCAGCAAATGATCGAAATTTTTCAAAATAAGAGTAAAAATATTGTGAAATTCCAAAATAATAGTACTATATTTCCATCCAAAATATTTTGGCATTACCACAGATCAATATGGCAATATTAGTGTCCTAATTGACTCCGTAGTATATTTTAAATATAACAATAATTACTAATTTGGAATTTTATATTATTTTAACAAGTTAGGACAACTTTTTAACAAGCATACCGTGTTTCTTTAAAATGAATATATGACTATTTAGTCATAACATTTTTACCTTATTATAAATTGAAACTAATGTCTTAGTCAAGAGATATTTCTACAACCGGACGCAACACCATTTTCAATACGAGAAGCATGAATTATTTTATATGCTGATGATATATAAAAAAGAAAGAAAAATCAACAGCAATGTGAAAATTGTTTTAAAAATACACATGTGGGGTGGCCGCCAATCTTATCCTCTGAAACAAGCATTACACACAGCCCGATGATGTAAAAGATAGCAACAGGCAGCTACAATAAATTTATGCAACTAAATGAGGCGGCTTATGCAAGATTTGATGATAACATAAACTGTAATGGTCAAACTTTACAGTTAATCTTTCCATTCAACATAATCAGCCTATGTCAGCAGGTTCTTCATTTTCAACACGTAGGAAATGATGGCAAAAGAAAAACATAGTGGATTTGTTTCTCTAAAGTCATCAAGTGTGAGCTAGGCAGGTGTTTTAAGGTTGAGTAAAATGATAAAAGGTTGTTTGGTGAAGAAATATGAGGTTGGCTTCATAATTAAAACCTAAATGACTCATTGGGGGGATGAGCAAGCTTTGATTCGACTAGAAGATGACAGCAGGGGTTGATAATGACCTCCACCCTCATAATGATGCAACTCATGATAATAATGTTCTAAAAAACTTTAAAGGGATTGTATTCCCTCCGTCCATATTTAAGGTCCATATATTCTCTTTGTTGGACAATCTTTGATGCACAATTTCAAATATCAATCATGTGAAAAAATAAGGAAGCAAAAAAATGTGTGATTGAAACTAAGAATAACCACAGCTTTATTACTTTAGTGGTAAAATTTTCTTTGACAGCCAAAAAGGAAAAGGTGATGAAATCCAATGGGACGAGGGTGTATCAATTAACTCTGCTAATCCATGAATGACAGTAATTGTATAAAGTGAAACAAAGTCAAGACAGGACGCTTATTAGATGATTATAACATTTATTAGAACAAGTTGGAAGTCATATGAAAAAAAAAACCAATTTGGGAAGGTCAAATTAGGAACTTTAAAGACAGAGGCACTAAGATCAAGCACCCTGGTTGGGTCAAGGAGGCCATTATGCTCTTAGAACAGATCTTTAGCAAAATAAAATACAGAAAATACTTTACTTTGGGTCCTTCGGATAACTCACTAGACCAATTTATGTACCACAAACGGTTGAAAACATGGAAGTTGGGGATCAAAACTGAAAATGAATCAATAGTCGACCAAGATTAAAAAAAATCTGAATCAAAAGAACAAAAGTAGGATACCCGTGACTCATCAATTGGTTACCCATCCCTTTCCTCAAGTTGTGTATGATTCACAGCTATAATTAGTAATTTACTCCGTAGTAATTAATGATTGTTGAAAAGAGGACAAAAGATGCGGTCATGTGAAAGATTATGACATGCAAAATGAGTATGAAATGAAAATCCTTTCATATCTGGCAACTACTTAATGGAAAAGAGAGAAAAGTAACCGAAAAATGGAATCTGATTGCGGCATCATCCAGACAGAAGCCACTATGGACTTTTGTCTTCTTAAAGATGATGCAAAGTTCAACACAAATTGAGTTTCACATTCATGATCACTTTTAAAGATAAGCACCAAGGAATCAAACTAATTGTTTAATGTTTTGGGCAGAAATAGCTAAAATAGGTGAATTCAAAACCACACTTAAAATAGGATATTAGGATCAAATTGATTAATATTCAATTCAAGATTTTGCAAGTTCAGAACTCTTCTCACATAAAATATGTACACCACTCCCACAAATCACCAAGAATGAATCACTAAATTAAACTACCTAGCTTTATCCTGAGTCCTGACCCAACCCAATCCTGAATTCTGTCAAAATGAATAATAAAAATATACAGAACTTCAATTCATCTACTCACCTTTAATCAATTTGTAGCAATAAATCAATCAAGGACAGCCAATTCAATTATCAATGGGGCTCTGCTCTACCTACAATTTGTTCTGTTCCTGAAGCTACCAGACTTGTATGAAGTATAGCATAAAAATCAGAAGAAAAGCTGGAATACAGAATACCTGCAAAACAAAGTACACAAAAATGGCAATTAATTAATTAATTATACATAAATGAAAACATTGGAGAAATAATAAAGTTTAGTAGCAAGAACTTACTCTACCACCAGCAGCAGAAAACTCCATTTGGGGAAAGTAACCAGTAGAACCGGTAGAACCAGTACCATCTTGCTGTTGTAGTTTAATGTCATAAACCGGGTCGAGATTCGGGTAATAGAGCCCGTAATTCCTCTCCGAAGTCGGGCCGGGCTTTAGATTCTCATTGAACAGAGCGAAAACATACACATCAACCGGCACCGACGGCTTCGCCGGTGTACCTTCGCCCTTGTTCAAGCGCCCCAACAGATTACTATTGTACCGTGCGGCATTCGCCTGCGTCGCCCCCGCCTCATTCTCGTCCCCCTTCGAAGGCCAACCCGTTTCTGATACCTTTACTTCTATATCCTCGTGGCCCATCGCCTTCATCGCCGAATAAACCGCATCGATCTGGGCGTAAAACATGTTATCGTATTTCAATTTCGTCACCGGATCGGTATTCCCCGGATTAGGGTTGAAAAGCACATAATCCAACGAAACATCGCCGGGATCTCCTTTGTATGCGAAGTAGGGGTAAGCGTTTATGAGGAACGCCGATTTTGTTTGAGTATGGAAATCGAGAATGGCGTGGATGTATTCCGCGAGATCCGGTTTAAACGCGCCGGAGGAAGGTGGGAAGGAGACCGCCATTGCCGAGTAAGCATGTGCCGTCGTTACACTGATCTTGTCGCTTAACCCTAAATTAACCAGTGCCGCATGAACGGATTTCATCGCCGGGAGAAGATACGACATCGCTTGAGAGTCACCGCCGGTTAAGACCTCGTTCCCGACCGTGATACAGGTGATCTTGGTTGGCCCGTAATAGGGCTGAACATTCTGTTGGATCCAGGTCTGGGCTTGGGTCGGGTCAGTCATCTTCTGAAGATCGCCATTTCCAAGGCCAATAACGAACTCAAAGTCCGACCCGGCAAATGCGGTCAGGACGTTCGGGTCGGCGTCGTAAAGTTTAACCCGTTTAACGTTAAGTGATTTGAGGAGGGTGACGACCCTTGAATGGGATGGCAGATTGTCGGCAATTTGGCCATAGTTGATTCCAAATCCCGTGCTTTGGATACCTGGAAACAGATCTGAGTTCACAAAGTTTATGAATCAGATTTGAAAACATAGACGAAATTTGTTCACATTTTACACACATTTGTTTGTTCGTAATTGTATGTGCAAAGAATCAAGGGAGAAGAGCCAAAAATGACACTAAGGTTTTTAGTGAATCTCATATTAGACATCGAGGTTATTAGTAGATCAGATTAACACAAATTCTAACTTATATGCTGCGTTTAGGCCACCGCAAACATTTCCGTTAAAATTCTAACCTAGAGCGTTTCTTAACAACTTAAAACAAAGAAAAAAGGTAATTAAAATTGCAGTCTTTCCTAGTCCAGTCCACGGTCATCTCCTCCATGCTTAGAGCTCTCAGAAAGAAGATATTAGGAGTCAGTTTTCCAAAAACCCAGCAGACCCGTCAGCCGAGGATGGTCTTCAAAGGTCAAAATTTTCTGTTCCTAAACATGATGCTTCCGGCACAGATGGGTCCTCCCATTCAATAGCCTATGTTTTGCCGGGTAGAACTCTTCAATTTAAACAGATAAGAAAAAGGTGGAGTGAGCCCAAAGCTTTAATTGCGCCGACTCTCAAGATGTACTGGTGGTAGACTGGTAGGCGGCGGCGGCCAGAGCTCCGACAAACGGCCCGACCCAGAAGATCCAGTGCTGATCCCATATTTGTTTGTTGTTGTTGATGACGGCGTCGAAGCTCCTGGCGGGGTTGATCCCGGCTCCGGTGATAGGGATGGTGGATAGTGGACGATAAACACAGCAAAGCCTATGCGTAGGAAATGTTTATATAGTTGAATATACATCAAGGAATGTCCTTTAACTTGCAGATCAAATGAAATGAGCCGAGTAACCTCACCCAACGTCCATTTAACGGAAATGTTAGTGGGTGGCCAAAAAGCAACTAATAAGTTAGAATTTGTGTTTATTTGGTCTACTAAAAACCTAAGTGTCTAATCTGAGATTCATTAAAAACATTGGTGTCAATTTTGGCCCTTCTCCCAAGAATCAAAGATTATGTCTACATCTCTACTTGTCTATGTACCAAGCAATTCGTGTAGCATTGCATGAATGGTATAGAGACATAGAGTAGAAGCACAAACTAGAGCGTTTGGATGAAAGTGCAGAAGTGATTCTAGTACCTAAATTTATTCTTAGAATTAGTTTTTTTAGAAGCTGGAGTGACCAGCTTTTGAAAAATGATTCTTTTTGTTTCTAATTTAAAAAAGAATAGCAGAATCAGTTCCAAACAACCTATGTATACAAATTACCTACATATGTATTCAATTTTTGTACACAAAAGATGGTTGATCGGATTTTATGTAGAAACCTTAAAAATAATGATAATAATAAATTTTTTTTAGAGCAAAACGAACTCTTTATCTGCTTATGGCATTAAAAGATTTTTGGACCTTGAATGAAAATTTAGAATATTGTATTACTACTCCATATAAATACTCTCCGTATTTACATACTCTATGAGAAAAATCCATATGACCATATCAATGTGGAGTTGGTAGTTTTGCTTCTTGAGCATATATTGATTTATGAAATAATTAATCGGTGAATTTAAATTTTAGTATCTTCTTTACAATTTAAACTTTAAGGTTTGTAAAATTGCATTGTGTGTAAATAGTTAGAAATACCTAATACTAGTATTTCTAAGTATTTAGACATATAAAACACTCTCCTAAAGCGTAAAAATTTATTTCCAAGACTTTTTTACATACTCCCTTCTTCGCACTAATTTTCCTTGTTTTTCTTTTTTGCTTGTCCATCTAATTTTATACGAAGTACGTATTATCATATTATATAGAGATATTACCCAAAATGAGACTAAAAAAGTTTTGAAATTCCAAAATAGGACTTCCATGTTTTTATTCCCAAAATAGGACTAATTACTGTCATGTTTTGGCAGTACCAGACTTCAAACATGACAGTATTTTCCAAATTTGGCAGTAATTAGTCCTATTTTGGGAATAAAAACATGACAGTCCTATTTTGGAATTTTCAAACTTTTTTAGTCCCATTTCAGGAACTTTCCCTATTATATATATCCTACTTTTCTTTTTGGGTTGTCTCAAAATAAGTGTCTCCTTTCTTTTTATTTGGAAAGAGATATGTGGTTTACATCATTTCACTTTATTATATTCAAACCACAATTACAACTTTTATTTTTTCGATAATTTCATTAATAACCATGTCAATTAAACTAAGACACATAAAATGTGATGAAAGTAGTACTATTTTATCAATTAAATAGCAACCTTTTAATTATATTTCTTTTAATAACTACGTAGTAAATAACTTTAAAAAAAACTACATATCTCAATTTTAGGTCTTAATTTCAAGGGGACATCTGACCATCTAGCCTACATAGGCGAAAAGGTCTCCAAAAGTTCCTTTTTTTGGAATAGACATTTCTAGCCGTGCAAAAGTCAAGTTTAGTAGTAGTACATTTTAGATGATTGGCATAAAACTATCAAAAATGATCTTTGTATCCATTATTGTACCCACATTTGTATATATATATATATATGTTTGTGAAGCTTTTTTTGTTTGTAAACCTCGATTTACAAACAATATTTTGTACAGACAAAAAAACCTTCACAAACATTCACAAACATTCCTGTAAAACTATTGCAGTCTCGAAGCAAAGTAAAAAAACGGAATTGAAAATTGGTACCTTTTCCTCCCGCAGAAATGTACACCCTACTTCCAATATGAAAAATTATGTGCAGTTTTGACTTTTGACCATAGAAAAAACTATTCCGTACTAGGGGAAATAATAACTAAAGAAAAAATAGAGCTAATCTGAAAATAACGCATATATTCTAAATATCAAAGTTCATGATTTTATTTTATATACCATCATTTTCAATGGAGCAAAAAAACTCATTAATTTTTTACTTGAGAATATGATGGAATGAAATAAAATGTCTCAGTGAACTAAATGTCTACGCAATTGCAATTTTTGACGTGATCTTCACTATGAGTCACCTGGAAATAGTCTCATTGTACTTTAGTACAAAGGTAAAACCGCGTACATCCGACCCACCATACGTGCGATACTGATTAGATGATGATAATGACCATCATTAAGTTAATTTCTTTTTATTCATACCTATTCAAATACGGAGTATATAACTTTTTTTTTGAGAAGAGACATATAAATTTTTATTATGGATTATTAGCTTACTTTATTCTAAACTATCATCAAATTCACAAATCTATCATATTCTTTCACTTTTATAAAAAAAGATTCAAATTTCATCTTTTTCAACAATTATGGTCTTCTTCTTTGTTTTTTTTTTTCAAATTACAATTTTTTTCAATGCCAATTAGATATAAGTAATACAAGTGTGTAAACTTAAAATTAGAGAGAAGTGAAAATATGATATATAAATATGTTTTTGTTCTTAAATTTTACTAATTCATCTATTGAAAGTGTAATTATGAAAAAATTTGAAGTTTGAGTTTTTTTAATAAAAGTAAAAATATGGGATAGATTTGTGAATTTGATCATAGTTGAGGATATATTTAGCATAATCCTTTAAGAAATTAATCATTCTTGATTCATGTTTACATTTTACAGTCAAACATGAAGATAAAATTCCTTAGATTTGTCTTAATTTGCTCTGGCACTATCCATAATCCAAAGTGAACCTAAACAGTTTAAGAATACCTCAAAGAAAAAGGGAAAGATGAACTATTTTTATCTACATCCCAAATTTAGAGAGACGTGTTAGAGAGAATTTGCAGAATCAACATTAGGAACTTCAGACTAACAATTTGACAGCTAAACAGAAGCATATACAGTTTCAGAGTCCCAAACCCATATTTCTATACACCCAAGAAATCAAAAATCAAGATTCTTCAATCACCCCATCTGGAAATGATAATTCCAAACCTTTCTTATTTAAAGAAAAACACTTCCAGTGAGAAAATTGTAAAAACTGAATCTTCCAAATTCCATCTTCCTTATTTAAAAGAAATACTCCCAGAGAGAAAATTAGAGAAGAAAGTTGGTAAAAACTGGATCTTCAAAATTCCATCTTCCTTATTTAAAAGAAATACTTCCAGTGAGAAAATTAGAGATGAAAAATGGTAAAAACTGAATCTTTCTGTCATTGATGACCAAAAAGGATGACTTTATGTCCATTTGCAGAAACCCAAACCCAGAAAAGATGAAAAACAGATGAAATATGCAGAATTGGATGCATTTTAGCTGTTAAAATTCCTAACCTATGGAAGGGTTGGTGGGGGTGGGGGGGAATTTTAGAGAAAGGGGGCAGTTTACCTGTAAGAAAGGAGAAGAGGAGCAGAGCTGGGACGATTTTGGTCATTGCCATTGACAAGGAACTCTAACAGCCAGGATTCTCAAATTATGCGCATATTTATACTTATATATGCCATCCGTCCAAATGTTATTTTATTTTTATTAATGTCTCATTCATAGTTGTGTATTTTGTTTTGTTTTCAGAGCAGCTGTATCTTTAATTCTTTGTTGTTTATTTATTTCTGCTCAATTTATTATTATTATTGTATCGCGCAGTCACGATTATTTTTATTTTATTATTGCTCCGCGGATTTTTAAGGTCACGCGTGATATCATTGGACCTTAAATTGACATGCTTTCTCATTTAACCGACACGGAAGTACACGGTTTCTTCCATCCTAAGACCTCAATCCATGCTAAGTAAACTTGCAACATCAATTTTAGTTTTAAGAAATTTCTATAAATATAAGTAAATAAAGAATAAGTTCTAACTCCTCCGTATGTTATATTTCTAATATATGATTTATTCAATTTTAACAAAGATCTGCCAAATTATAAAAGTGCTGTTTTCACGAGTAAATGACTTCTATTCAAGAATGGAAAAAAAGATCCTCAATATGAGTAAAAATAATATCAACTTTTAAAATGAGAGTATTATTTTATTTCCTTAAAATAAGGGTGTTCTCAAAATTACTAGGATTTAAATAGGACTAGTATTGTACCCGTGCGATGCACGGGATACTAATATATTTATACGGAGTATATTGTATCTGTTTGAAATTTAAATATGGAAATGAAATATACTCCAAGAATGAACACGTACAAAAGTATAACTTCTACAAAGATTTGAGGTTATAAATATACAATGTTACTTATCAATATTTTGAATATGTCACGATTGGTAACTTTGGGAAATATAATGTATAGTTGGTTGTGACAAAAAAATACGGTATTTCTATAATAAATTTCCATAAGAAATATATTATCTTTGACACATGCTGAAATGTAAATGACATTCTGACAAATAGAGTGGACTACGACTAAAGTTACTATTATAATGTAAATATTGTACACATGCGGTTATGATTAAAGTTACTACTATAATTATAATTAAATATTATGCAATTACCTATATTTATTTCATACATTTATTTCTTATGGGTCTTCAATTAGATGAAAATAACTACAAAATGTATACATTATATTGTTAAATTAATGGACATTATTGCCGAGCATTCACAGACAATCTTAGAGCCCGTTTGGTAACATTAAAATTAGCTGAAATGACCGATTCTGTTGAAATTTATGAAGTTCTGGTTTAAGTGGCTGTATTGGCTAATTCTACTAATTTATGAAAAATTAAATTTAAAATATTTGTTATTAATAAATAAAATAAAAAATTATATGAAAAATAGCTAAAATGATCCTCTACACTTACTTCGGCTAATACAACCAGAAAAGTAACTTCAACCTTAATTTTTCTTCTTATTACATAATTCAACGTGCGAAGTCAAAAGTTACGTGTTTGGTGAAAAAGCTGACTGGTAAGCACTACGTACCGTTACTAACTTCTTTCTATGGTTATGACCACACCTCTGAAGGCTCTGGTGTCTGCAATTCACCATTTTCATTTTTCTGCTCTCCATGTTCATTGGATCTCCACCGGCTCAAAGAGTCAAATCCGATAGTTTTTTTTTTAATTTATGTGATGCTTCAATTGATAGTTTTTTATAAATTTTAAATAACAAAACATCTACATGATGGTGCATATCATGTAGAGGTTATTAAACATCTATGAATTTCTCGCATTTGATAAGATACTTCTTTGATTGGAATATTTATTTCTATGAAACCTTAAATTCTTATCATCTCATGCCGCTGATGCGTAGAAATTACATAGATATAACACACTATTTTTCGGAACTACTGACATTTGACATTAATATATTTGAACTACTCCGTATGTTATTTAGATTGATTTATTAGATAACTCGCACAGTTAGTTGAGTGGTGGCAAAATCGAAAGATTAGATTAGTTTATTAGAGAGAATCTTAATAGGCCGTTTGACAACACTGTATTTCGGCTTATCAGCTAGTTTTTTCACCAAACACGTAAATTTTGCTTTCGCATGCTGAATTATGTAATAAGCAGAAAAATTAAGGTTGGAGTTACTTTTCTGGCTGTATTGGCTGAAGCTACTGCAGATGATCATTTTAGCTATTTTTACATTTAATTTTTTCATTATTTTATTAATAAAATATATTTTAAAAATAATTTTTTCTTGAATCAACAGAATCAGCCAATGCAGCCACTTCAGCCAAAACTTCATAAATTTCAACAGAATCAGTCAAACCAGCCGATTTTCGTGCTACCAAACGGGCTCTAAATCATCCAAGGAAAATAGCTTCATAAATACCTGGAATATTTTGAATTGCACTGTTAGTGGGCATTAACATTGTAGAAGCTAACATTTCATTCAAATATAACCACATACGAAGCATATAAAAGAAATTTGACACTTTTCTTGAAGTAAATTTGGTTTTGTACTTTACCTTTCATCAATTACGTCCTTGTACTACCTAATTTTTGTCAAAATCGATTTTTAACCGGTAGCAGACGGCAGACCAGTTTCCCGCTGACGTGGTCGCCCACGTGGAAGTCCATTTCACCACTTTTTTCTTTTTATTTTTTCTTTTCTTCTTTCCCCCTCTTCTTCTTCTTCCCGTTACCATCCATCTTTCATATTTCTTAGGAATCCGATATGTTCCATACTTCCATCTCCCCCTGTTCACTTTCATTAATTTTCTACTTTCTTCTTCAATTTTTCTTCCTTTCCCAAGTCACTACCTCCCCCCTAGCAGGATCCGGCTAATTTCCCGCGAAGCAACCCAATCCGGCGAAGTTAAAAATAATCGGAATTTCTTCTTCGTCTAACTCCCAATCTTCCCCATGTCGGCTGAGGTTTGTTCCTATATACGGAGCATCAATTGTTATCTCACTAAACAAATGTCATTCCCGTATATAAGTTGTCCTCATTTAGATTTAAATTACCACCCGCTAAAGTATGTTGTGTTAGCACTAACAATTGCTTAAACTAAGAACATCTAATACGATAGAATTGATTACCCTGCTATGCTCTCGTATATTTTAGGGCGTGTAAAGAAGTACAGATATAACAGGAGACCGTCTCACAACAGGGCAGACAGCTACTTCACCTACCTAAGAGCTTCTCACCGGAGACCGTCTCACAACAAATATCTCCAAAATCACTACAGTGAATTGCCTATGTACTGGGATGCTCCTTCCTATGACAACACGTATAACGGCGCAAGAAGCAAAGTCAAATTGCTCACAGGTAATCTTCCCAACAAAACCCCCTACTCCCACTACTATCATCCGGAATCAGTCACGACCGCTGACTTCAATCCGAGGGAAGGATTAGTCAGAAATCCGAATTACGCAGCACGACCCAAACCCAGACTTCAATCGATTGATGTCAGTCGTGCTCATCCCCTCCACACCTCCAACGAAGAAGAAGGGGATGGCTATTGGAGCACAGTACGTCACAGACGACGGCTCTACAATTACTATCCTAGGAAACGTGTCTCAGACTCCAACCTCTACACAGATACAGCTCGGTTAGTTGATAATCGCTTCATTTTACTTGAATCTGAAGACGACATTGGTTTTTATCCCCTGCCCACACAAGAGTGTTACCAAGAACAGGCACATCAATACAATCGTCGATTAAAAAAACCCTACAGGCACAGACACGAACCCACTAGTCATTTTGGGGTTCGCCGCAGGTCTGAGCACCGAGATCGATTAAGCCCTGACGGAGTGCTCGGAAAAGCACAGTCAAGCAAGGCAATCATAGCCGTGGAGAGCTCTGCTCCTGAACCACAATCGCCGAATCTTTCACCTGCGCCGGGAATCTTAGCCGGAATCGGACAAGCTGATAAGGTTCGGGCTACTTTGGTAGGACCAGTTACGCAGGAAGCCAATCTCGGACGATTCACTGCGGGACACACCCAGACTAATACTGCCAAGCAGCTCACATGGTATGATAAGGTACCCAGCGCTAATAGATGTGCAGAGAACCGAGACCCAACTACCTCCTCATCTGCAATTCACACATGGGTTGATCTACTGAGGGGTGACAAGGATAAAAATGCCCGGGCCCAAACAGCACCCCTCCTCTCAGTTGCAAGAGACACTCAATTTGATAATAACATTACTTGTATTAATGATATTATTTTTCCAAATACAGATATTCTCCAATTAGAACCAGCAACACAGGGCGTGGACAAATTCTACTTTTACGGGGAAGAAGGATTTGACTCTATCAAAATCGAATCTAAATTCTTCAGGTTTGGAATAAAAAACAATGAAATTGCATTTTTTGAGATCAAGAAGTCACAGCTGCACAAGATTAGTTTTAATCTAGAATTGGCTCCTCAAATCATCCGTTATATTTATCAGCTCACGGGAAATGACCTTTTTCACCGGCAACTAAGGAGATTTGGACCTATCTCGATTTCTTCAAAGTTCAATAAAGCTGGAGGCTTCATAAAAATTGCCAAAGAAAAAAGAAACTTCATTTTAATTCCAGCAGACCCACAGAAGGCAAGACTACTCGAATTTCTAGGAGTCTTTTCTAATTTTATGGGACTTTCAGATTTAGTGCAGGAGGAACCTATGCACCAGTTACAAGATATCACATGTTTTACAGAGGAGCCAACATCAATATCTAAGCTGGTTTTTGATTCCCAAATTCGGGCAGCCTTTTCTGAGCAACAGTGGTCTCCAACTCCAGTGGAACAGCCCATGCTTGTTCAAGCATACTCAGACGCATCAGACAATTTTTACCAATCAGATGACTCTTTTTACATGGACGACTTTCTGGGAAATGCAACTGAAAGCGATCGTCGTCCCCCTATCTCAACTACAGCAGATATTGCGAAATCAAAATTCAACAGAGCGATTTGTAAAAAATCCAAATTTGTTACCTCTGAGAATTGTTTGCCAACAGAAAACCTGAATACACAACTGAAAATCTACAGGAAATCCCAAAAGAATAAAAGGCGCCACAGCATGACAACTAGGTCTCAGACTAGAGAATTTCCTTGGGTGTAGTTTTTTAAGGTTTTCTTTCTCTGTTTTGTTTTGTTTTGTTTTGTTTTGTTTCCTTTATTTCCTCTTCTTATTGTACTGTTTATTTATTTCAATAAAATTTACTTTGCTTTAAAAAAAAAAAAAGTACAGATAAATCCACACATA